TTAGGGGTGGAGTTTTGCAAAATCCCAACTAAGTGAGCACCTACGTTCTAAAAGGAACCCCCATGCAAAATTTGAGACTCCTAGCACTTGTAGTTTCTGAGATTTCGTGATGAGTGAGTGAGTCAGTGACCTTTCGCTTTTATAGATAGATAGATACATACAGACGAATCGAGAACCTCCATTTTTGTTGTCGGTTAAAGTATGTTGGGATACATATACTTAGAACGTAGATAGAAGTCCTTTAGTTCATTCTAGGTTATTCTAACATAAGATTACTATATTTGAATAGTTGAGTACTTTGTGTTTTCCCCAGAACATTTCAACGAGGCTTGTTTTTCTTATTATCCGTACTAATAAATACGAATGTTCTGTCAGTTTATTTATTTAAAATCTTTATTACACACAAAAAATTGTGTACAAAAGGCGAACGTAATTGCCGTGTGGTATTCTTTACTTGTTAACTTTATAATTCGTGTTATGATTTTACGCCAACACCTCTTAAAAAGGAAAAAAAAAACACTATGACATCTTCATCATCGTCAGGTCATTCAGTCTCCATTGCAGGAGCACGACCCTCTAATGTACCAGAGGCAAATGGAGGATTTGGCCTGCACTCCCCACGCTGGCCAGACGGGTTGGGGAGGCCTGATGTTCGCATTAATTTGTCCCTTAGGACTTTTTTCAACAATACTAACGTCCGTATACACAAACGGTGAAACAGCAAATCGAGCTCTGTGATTGGTTCGAATGTCACCCTATGCGTCCACGCGTACTGTGAGACTTCATAGTAATCTTTGTGAATACGGGCGTAAATATCGTCTGATGTGTGTTGGCTGTAATACAACGATCTTACTTTGTTTTAGTCATAAATTATATCCCAACTATAATATTATAAATGCGAAAGTAACTGTCTGTCTGTCTGTCTGTTACGCTTTCCCGCTTAAACCTCGCAACCGATTTTGATAAAATTTGGCATAGAGATAGTTTGAGTCCCGGGAAAGAACATAGGATAGTTTTTATCCCGGTTTTTGAAACAGGGACGCGCGCGATAAAGTTTTTCTGTGACAGACAAAATTCCACGCGGGCGAAGCCGCGGGCGGAAAGCTAGTTTGTAAATAAATCATGATGAGTTTATCGATCAACACAATGATCAATAACTTTGAAGGTAACAAACAACTACATTAATTATTTCGCTTGATGTGTCTTTAACAAACAATTACACATTATTTTGATGTTTCTTAGTATTTTCCATGTTACAGGAAAACGGTCGCTTTCAAGTAATGTAGGTCTTAGTGCTAACAAGATACTAAAATACATTTTATTATTGAATGTTAAAAATTTAAGATTCGAAGTAGAAAGTTTTTCGTACTTGAAGTACTGTATGTAGGTATCTATTACCGTAGTTAGTAGGTACCTACTTAAAGTAAAATCAATGAATTTTCCTCAACAACACAAAACATACTTACAATGATGCATTATTATTATCCCTGACAGGGACAGTTACGACATTTCACTTAAGTAGTGATTCCTGTTATTCTGATAAACTTTGAACTAACTTAATGCTAATTAATCTAAAGATAACGGTGGCACGTTTATAAAGTGCACACACAGCTGCTGCTTAGGGTCTCAGATTGGATGTCAAATACCTACTTATATCTTCTAGATTGTAATCATGTTTGTTACTTTTTCACACAAAAATCATCCTTAGTAGCGCCTGACCACATTGCCATAGCAATTCCGAGTGGAAAATACTTTTGCTTGTTTCATCCCGTCAGGTACTGGAGGTTAGTTTTTAAAGTTACAAGTTACTGATTGGCTTTCGATGCGGGTCCAATGACAGTTTAACATTCTCCCGGGATAAACTTGACCTTCACTGGTTGGGTTGTTGGCGGTCAAGCTGTAGATCACATTATGAGACATGTAGAGGCTCCTTAAGAGCATATGACGATTTGTAAGAACTATTTATTAGTCTAAACAAATAAAGAAAATTTGACTTTGACTTTGACTTTGATCCTGGCTACACAGGAGTTGCAGAGGATGGAACGGGAGGTGGAAACTAGTGGCTTTGGATTAGGCGCGTAAGTAATCCTTATGTGCCATCATCTGTTTTTTCTGTACTAGGTATTACATTTATTGCGGAATCTGAATACAAAACATTGACCTACCGATAACTTTAAACTAATTTTAATATAAATAAATTCTTGTAAAACTCAACAACAATATAGTTTAGATAAGCTTGGCTAAAGATTATTCGTACAAGGACACAAATGACTAAGAATAGAGATTGTTTCTGGTTTTTCATCTGTTTTGTTTTATAATACTACACTGAACCAATTATTATGATATTGACATAAATCCACATCTTACTTATTTATCTAATTTTTATCCACTATACGAGGAAGATCATGACACGTCACCTGAAGTTAAAGTGGAATGCACGGAGGAACTGGCTATCTTACCTCCAACTGCCGGATCACAACAATTTGTTAACATCGATGTCATGGTGGTGACTGACTTAGGTAAGATGGTGGTTGCTAACTAAATCGAGCAGGATATTTCTGGGCATCAAACCTGAACTTGTTTGGGACTTGGGAGTCAAATTCTCAAGCTACTAAATATCTGAGGCGTTGTTTTTGACTTCGTTTCAGCCAAATGACGTCCACTGCTGGACAAAGTCCTCCCCCAAGGATTTCCTTAACAACGAGTCCTGCGCTTCCCGCATCCAGGCTCTTCCCTCGACCTTCACCTCGACCTTCACCAGATCGTCGGTCCACCTAGTGGGAGGCCTGCTCACGCTACGTCTTCCGGCCCGTGGTCGCCACTCGATAACTATTCTGCCCCAACGGCCATCATCTCTACGAGCTACGTGCCACACCCACTGCCACTTGATTTTAGCAATTCTGCGAGCTATGTCGGTTACTTTGGTTCTCCTAGTTTGTGCCTTATTTTATAGTAGGTAATTCCTGTGTATTTTTTTTACTAGACAAAACTATTTCGTCCAATTTGCGACTCATTAACGAATTTTGTCCCAATTTAACACTCATCTAGCGTTTACAGTAACAATTCAATTTTGTGCATTTGGCAGCACGGAAACTGGGTATTATAAGGCATTACGATTATTATCAGCGAGGACATTTCAACAAAATGTCTTTAATACCAAATGTAGAAAAAAATATGTTTTGGACATCACTGTTTTTTATTTCATGGTGGTTACTAGGTCATTCATATACATAAATTAATTAAATGTGGAAGCTGTAGACAGACAGTCTATCTTTTTCACACTTATAAACGCTTGAATCATCATCATCATCATTTAATTTAAGCCACAGGACGTCCACAGCTGAACATAGGCCTCCCCCAATGGTTTCCAGATCGGCCGGTTGGTAGCGGCCTACATCCAGCGCCTTTCTGCAAACTTTAGAAGGTCATCTGTCCACCTTGAATCGATGTACCTAGATAACATTTAATACACATTTCCTTCTCCTAGTATCTTAATATTATTATTTACCAAAAATAATTCAGCGCTTCTTGAATATTATTTCATGAAGTTCAGTCGTTTCAACCGAGTTCCGTCCACTGCTGGACAAAGGCCTCCCCTAAGGATTTCCTCAACGACCGGTCCTGCGCCTTTTCATAATAGGAACTAGGTATTTGAATTTGAAACTTTTCAGAAAGAACTTAGGCCCAGAACAGACGGTGAAACGCAACTGCAACGAAACTGCAACTGCTAGTTACTTTTGAGTTGCATCTAAGTTTCTGACATAGCGTACGTTGAGAGACACATGACGCGACCAGTTTGAAACTTTCAGTTTCAGTTTCATTCATCAGAATCATCAGAAAGTTGCAGTTTCGTTGCAGTTGCGTTTCACCGTCTGTTCTGGGCCTTAGAGCTAGGATCAAGAAAAATATTTTGAATAAAATTTGGTGTAATTTACTATGTTCATGATAATTATGGAGTTTAACACAGACCAGTTTTGCATCAACTCATATAAATGTAACTGAAGATAATTAGTATACATAAACGCGTAGTCAAGGGGTTAGGGTGAAATAAAAATATGAACTATGAACATTTTTTTATGAAAGAATCGTCCAACAAATTAATTATTTAAGAATTAAGTTAGCTTAATGAGGTATTTGATGCCATAATTTTTTAAGTTAACTCAAAACGTTTTTTTACTGAAGTCTACAAGTAGATAAACGGAAGACTTTGCGATGTTTTACGCTATTATTTTTATCGTTTCTTGATCTTCTCCGTTAGCTATTGTGCTAAAGTACCGACTAATTAATGTAATTGTTGTAACAATAATCGTCCAATTACGCCATTGTAAGAACCTTTACATAAGTTTTTTTTATCATTGGACATTTTACACTACGCTTCTAGTCTCAAACTAAGCAAAGCTTGTACTATGAGTACTACTTAGACAACGGATATAATAAACATACTTAAATACTTTTTTTTAAATACATACACATACATAGTAACACCCAGACCCATCACAGAAATTAAAATTCATCATTTCAATTTCTACCCAGCCGGTAATCGAACCCGGGACCTCTCGGTATAGTAGTCCCTTCTGAACCACTACACCAAACGGCCGAATTACTATTGTATAAACACACCAAACTAAAGAAGCACAATACTAAACAAATGGACTAGTCAGATTAGTCTCTGTACTTACTTAGAAAGAACACAAAAAATATACATAAAAAAATGGAAAGACAATCTGGTGAAGGTCGCGGGTAGCACCTGGATGCGGGCAGCGCAGGAAATCCTTGGGGGAGGCCTTTGTCCAGCTGTGGACGTCATTTTTTGAAATAAAAAATAATAATGACTAATTATCTTAACACTTAATTGCATCATACTCATCAAATCGTATTATTACAAGTATTGGTACACATCATCAAAGAATTATCAAGAATTTATTATCGTGTATTAACCTGTTATCTACAAAGATAAGGCTATTGTTTTCAAATACAACAACGAAGTATCTCAGTATACAATCATTTGTGACACATTCAACAATTCAGTTTACATTAAATTTTTTTTTCGTGTTAAATTCTCTAAAGAATCGGAAAAAATAACACACTCTGTCTCCTAAACTACAATAGTGTAACATATAAGCACAAATAAGTAACAGAGCGCTACAATATCGTAATAAAATATCAACAGAACGCGTTTCATCTGTATAAGTGACGGTCACAACACAGTTCGTTAAAAATGAATAGATTGTATTTTATAATTTTTGTTTTCGCGCTTATAGCATCGGTGATGGCATTAGGTGAGTTGTAATTACTTTTTTCTTAATTAATATTAAGATAGGAAAGGAAATTATTAGGGTTTTTGCTGTCGTAATACTGAGAAAATGATTTTGCTAGCGTTTTTCATTTTGTTTTTCAAATTAAAATATTTGTGATGTGACTGCAAAACAGTGTTGTAATTTTAAAACCAAATCTTTATTGATTTGCGTATTTATTATGTCAATAATTTTATCGAATTTAGTCAATTTAAAAAATGTATTGTAGCGGATAAGAAAATCAGATTTCTGGGTCAAATCAATACCAAAATGACCTGATGATTATGATAAAATTATTGTCAAATTGTTGATAAAATAAAAATAATTAATTTAAAGAAACACGAATTGGCCCAACTTATGCGATCTTATCGCTAGATAGCGATGTCTTCCAGTCAACCAGTCAGCTTATTAATAAAACATAGTCACTGCCTATCTATTAAACTCTGCCTGAATATTTTGAATTTAATATAATTTATTATAGTTACTTACTTACACGAGTATTCTAAAGGCAAAATATTCAATGCTTTGGTACAGTGAATACCATTTCAGACTTGTCATTTTTATCGCAAAATGAACCCTATTACAAAGGTTTAAGACACCAGAATGTTAATCTGGATTTGCCGTCGTCCATACAAAGGTTATCAACATTTTGTAACACTTGAGTGGTCTGTGAATAATTTGATAAGAAACATAATATAAATGATTTATGTATTTATAATTGTTTTTACTATGGACTTGGACATGTTACCATTGGCTATAAAAAGAAAAATAAAATTATAGATTGTGACGTATACACCTCACTATTATAGTAAAGATCTTCTGAGCTGTCAAATACAGAAAACACCGGTTATTGTCATAGTTACGGTTAAAGTAAGTTGGTGCAAGGAAAATTTTTGATGATGATCATTTTTTTTATTTAATTACATATTATTACTTTCAGCTGTACCTTGGTAACTAGGTACTTACTGTAATTTCTGTTTTGATTGACTGGAAGAAGGGAATGGTACCTATAATATCCATAAGTAGTAAAGGAGGATTCCGTCAACTGGGACCGCAATTAACTGGGACCGCGGTCCCAGTCGCCGGATGCGTAAAAATTAAATAATTTTCTTCCGGCGACTGGGACCACTCATGGATTTTAGTACTGTACCGATTTTGGATTGAATAATATTTTCTTTTAAGTTATCTATGAGTGGTCCCAGTCGCCGNTCGCCGGATGCGTAAAAATTAAATAATTTTCTTCCGGCGACTGGGACCACTCATGGATTTTAGTACTGTACCGATTTTGGATTGAATAATATTTTCTTTTAAGTTATCTATGAGTGGTCCCAGTCGCCGGAAGAAAATTATTTAATTTTTACGCATCCGGCGACTGGGACCGCGGTCCCAGTTAATTGCGGTCCCAGTTGACGGAAGCCTCAAGTAAAGAAAAGTAGGTACAATATCAATATACAAAAAATGATTTTTTTTTAATTTTCAGAAAGTTACATATTTTATCAAAGTGATTAAAAGCACTTGTCTTCATTATGGCGAACTTAAAAAACCCAATAACAAAAGATTACGGTAATTTATAAATAAAATAGATTTTTAGTCTAAATTGAATTTTTTACATGTTCGTCAATAAGGAGCACACCCTGTATGTTTAATTCTATTGATAGCAAATTGACCTCTGTCGTGGGACAAGACAAAAATATTATGATGATATTTTTAATTATTATGTAAATTAGGTTACGGTCATTTCAATATTTGTAAGTAAACAATTTGAAGCCGTGTGGTGACGGCAGAGTAGAATACATTTGTCACCAACCCCTATTCTTCCCGCGGGTGTCGTAAGAGGCGACTTAGGGACTACACATCAAACAGAGAATGGGCAGCAGCGCTCTCTGAAAAACATCAATCTTTTAAACTGCGATCTCCAACCCGCCTGCCAAGCGTGGAGATTATGGCAAAACCCTCCACTATAGTGGAGGAGGCTCATAGTCCAGCAGTGGACTGTAAAGGGCTGTTGATGATGAAGTAAACATAGAAATAAAGTGTCATTTGTATTGGGTCTGAGATTTTTTTTTAATAGCTAAATAATTAAAATATTTAGCTATTCGCTATAATAGTCCAAGCAGGGATCGAACTCGAGCGTCCCGACACCATTTGGCTAATATCATCTCAAACTTTGAATAATCAATGGTAGAGTGAATGAATGAATGAATGGAGTCTTCAGTCTTCCATCGACTGGCCCCATTTTTAACTGGGTCACTCATATGGCTTTTTTAATATTTTGTCTTCCGGTAACTGGGCCCAGTCGACAAAAGACTCCTAGTATAGTCTGGTCTGTGAGCACGTAGAATTTTGTCGATAAGGATGGGTAGCTTGGGGTCATTGGACAAAATTCTACGTGCTCACAGACCGGGTTTTAGCTTATAGAATTAGATAAAGATTAAATAATAAAACAAAATAATTAATTTCTATTTATTTCATTACAGATTCCCGTTGTTTTGAGCCAATAGTCACAGGACCATGCCGGGCTTCGCAAACCAAGTAAGTTTTACCTATTACCATAACACAACTACCTACTTTTGGTCCTTCCACAAGGTGGACCCATGACCTCATAAGTTTGACAACCACATGGTGGACTGACGACCTCATAAAGGTAGCAGGAAGGCGCTGAATGCAGGCCGTAATTATGTTGCTGTCGCGCTCGCACACTCACTGCGGGCGCCCGTCGCACAGTCGCGACAGCAATATATAATACCCGCGAGCGATAAGGATGGGTAGCTTGGGGTCATTGGACAAAATTCTACGTGCTCACGGACCAGGCTTTACCAACCGGTCATTGTGGAAATAATTGGGAGAGGCCTGTGTTCAGCAGTGGACGTCCTGTGGCTGAAAATCATTTGATGATGATGATGAACTACTTTTGATGCCAATAAACTTCCGTAAGAGGAGACAAACGCTTGTATTCACAAACGAAGCAGTAAATCAACCGCACAGCGTTGAATAGAGCTCTATGATTGGTTCGTGTGTGATCCTGTGCGTCCACGTGCACTATGAGACCAATAGTGATGTTTGTGAACATCAGGCCTCCCCAACCCGTCTGGCCAGCGTGGGGAGTGTAGGCCAAATCCTCTATTTGCCTCTGGTAAATTAGAGAGGGTCGTGTCCTTTTGCGCTAGGCCAGGTATTGTGGAAATTCTTGGGGGAGGCCTTTGTCTAGCAGTGGACGTCTTTTGGTTGAAACGAACGAACATCAGCTGTTTGGGCTATAGACGACAAGTTTTTTTGATGACTGCTAGCGCTCCAAGTCCTGCATTCTCAGTTCAGCTGCAAGTCTAGGTAGTGGGCACGCAAAGCGTGGCTGCAGCAGGTCCCAGGGTGGACGACGAGGACGTGGATGACGCGGACTGGCCGGGGTTCTGCTACACCGGTGTTCCACTACTTAACACAGCAGAGGGCTTCTTGGCATTTTGTAGGCAATGCTGACCTCACTACGTCAGCGATTACCACCAAGACCATGCCCCGGCTTCCCCCCCTCGAGCGAGATCAAGCGAGAAGCTCAAGACCGAACGAGATGGAGGACTGTTGTGGACGCCCTCTGCCCCATCTTGGGGACATAGGACCATAAGTCAAAGTCAAGTAGCGCTCCAAGTGGCCAAAAGTTGTACTGGATTATTTGAACCATAGTCCATACACGTTGCTCTATGACCAGTGGTAAGGGCGAGACTCTCTCGACTCTTAGTTTCTGGGTTCGATTCCCAGATTAGTCAGGTCTTTTTATTATGAGCGTTGGATGTTTTGTTTTGTAATGTCTAGGTAGGTACTTAATTGAGATTTAATTAATAATATCTACAAAGGATTATCTGCATGATGCGATGTTTATTTATAGAAGTGACATTGAAATCGTGAAATATCAAAGTCGTGCATTGGGTCATACTCATAATATTTTATATATCTGCTTAGTACAAATATTAAAGTACCTACCTATTAATTAACTAGTCTGGTACCTCATACAAGCTTTGCTTAGTTTGGTACTAGATGGCGCAGTGTATAAATGTCTAAGGATATTTATTTATTTTAAACTAGCTTTCCGGCCGCGGCTTCGCCCCCGTAGAATTTTGTCTGTCACAGAAAAACTATCGCGTGCGTCCCTGTTTCAACAACTATCCTATGTCCTTTCCCGGGACTTAAACTATATCTATGCCCCTAGGAATAGGGGTTGAATTTTGGAAAATCCCGTCTTAGTAAACACCTATGTTCTAAAAGGAATCCTCATGCAAAATTTGAGACTCCTAGCACTTGTAGTTTCTGAGATTTCGTAATGAGTGAGTCAGTGACCTTTCGCTTTTATAGATTATTATTTTTCAATGTTTCAGATACGCGTTCACCGGTAGAGGATGCGACACCTTCGTCTATGGGGGCTGCCAAGGGAGCGGCAACAACTTTGACACCATAGAGGAGTGCGTGAAGGCGTGCGCATGATTCCCAGCTTCGATTCCCGGCTCAAAATTTGGTAGTTGACACCACCAATCACATGTAGCACCCACATACAGTCAGCGCAAATCGTTCGTGACACCCAAGTGGCCAAAAAGTTGACAACATAAACTTATTCCAATTCCAATAGGGATGATGACTGGGTAATATTTCATTACCCAGTTCGACGAAATTCTATTTAGTCCGTCAGACAGATAATTAGAAAATATTAGACTCATATTTTTTTAATTTTTTCCATAATCGAATAATTACAGTATTATATTGAGTTGAAATGTCGCGTGATGTCACTTTTGAGTATAAAAATTCTACTCAAGCGTGACGTATCGCGCCATTTCAAGTCGATGTAGCATTGTTATTTTTTGGGTAGGGTTGGTTTTTGTGAAAGAAAATAAAAAAATATGAGTCAAATATTTTCTAATTATCTGTCTGACGGACAAATGGTTGAAATTTTGTCATCTAGGTTATTGTAACAAAGGCGTGTCTTAACCTTTTTGGCTTGGGTGTCACGAACTATTTGATGCTGACTGTACCCACTTATTTTTCTTTTATAAAGACACTAATTTTATTGTCATATAAAAATACCTAACTTTTTGCACTCACTGCAAATTGTGAACTTACTTATTTCCGCGGTTCATTAATCGATTGCATTGAATACTAAGTTATTAAAACATCACAAAAATCAACTATATTTTTCGATTGTTGACTTTAATAAGCGCATTGAAAATAAATTAAAGTTTTTAATTTAAAGAAATAGAACCAGTACTTTTTAGGAATCGTTTTTTTTAACATGAAGTCTATGGAATTTGAATTATTATCAATAAAAAATGTTACAATAATATTTGTAGTTCAAAAAAACATGTTTTTTGTTAAATGACACCTATACAAAATATTTATCTAAAAGTAGGTTTTACTAACTCTTAGAAAAAAATCGATAGATAAATCGCTATGGTTTAGTTATGTGACATCTCTATAACTTTCAAACTCGAAACGTCCATACGAATCATCTTAAGTGAAAAAGACTATATCTATATATATAAAAGAAAGTCGTGTTAGTTACTTCGCTTATAACTCAAGAACGGCTGAACCGATTTAGCTGAAAATTGTCAAGGAGGTAGTTTAGAGCCAGGAGAAGGACATAGGATACTTTTTATCCCGTTCGAAATTAAAAAAAAAGTCTGCTTATTTATTTCCATTAAGGCGGAACAAAGTTTGCCGGGTCAGCTAGTTTAAGTATAAAATAAAAAATAGTTCGTTTGAGTTCGCGAACTGTGACGTCATATCCTGTGGCCATACAGAGTCGCATTTTGGTAGGTCAAAAAAAGTAAATCAATTGATTGGTGGTGTCAAATATCAATTTAGTGTTATGATGGCTTTAAATTTAACAAAGAAAAACAAATAGATTGTATTAAAACTTGTTTATATGTAAGTATTGTGTAATAAATTGGCAGTTGGGAACACATGCAGTTACCTATAAACCTTTAGTTTACATATAATTATAATTCAAATTAAATACTATTAACTAACATGATATTATATTTATGATGTTTTTTTGACAAAGTGAAGGGCAGTTTACTTCTAAAACTTTTTGAGTTTTGTTTATCCTACGAAATTAAGACTTTTTTGTAATAAAATTGTGTTATTAATTTAATGTTGTTTTTCGTTTTAATTAATAGTAAGAGTTCTCACCAGAAAATACATATTTAACAACTCGTTTGTATCTAAAAACTCCGTAATTATAACAAGAACTTAAATACATACGCATTAGTGGTTTCCTGAATGCTGTCACTGTAATTTTATTTGATAAATAAATGAATAAAAGAACTATAACTTCAACTCCAATAATCCTAATTTTGAATTTTGACATAATATAAAGTTAACTAAAAGTAATAAATAAAAAGAAAGAAGAATTTTATTGTAAGATTCTAATGACTCTTCTGTAGACTGACCCGTTACCCTCCTTCTGGCGGAGTCGGGTAAAAACAGCACCCGTAGTAGGTAACTAAAAAAAATCGCTGCAACTCTTGTGTAGCCAGGATCTACAGCTTGACCGCCAATAAAAACCCAACCAGTGAAGGTCAAGTTTGTCCCGGGGGAAAGTTAAACTATCATTGGACCCGCAATGTAATTAATCAGAATAACATTTGAGGAGTTCGAAGTTAAAGTTCGAGTTCCGAGTTTGACGTTCAGATTCACGGGTCCATTTAAAAGCAGGGTGAGTCAACGAAATACTTGCCTACTCTAATGATATTTGTATTATGATATGTAGATGAATAATACAATTTCCGTTTAAACAGTTAATTAATACTTCGATGATGTTTGTCAACAAGGATAGTATTTAAGAAACGAATGAATTTATTTTTGTTTATTTCTACTGTGACATCGAGTGCATTATTAGATACTGATATTTTATACATAATGAAGAACATAGGGATATTAATTTTTTTGGTGGCTATTACTTTAGCAAGTTCACTTGGTGAGTACCTAAATAATCCTATATTGTAACAGCTAAGATGGCAGGCTTTAGTTTCGCCTCTTTAGTGTAGCGGTAAGACCCAAAGGTTCAAAATAATAATAAATTTTAATTTAATCAGATTTCAAGATCCGTTTATTTATGTTTGTAACAATGTTCTTACATCTAATGTTAGTAGCATTTGACATTTATCCATACTAATATTATAAATATGAAAGTACTCTGTCTGTCTTGCTTTCACGCCTAAACCACTGAACAGATTTTGATGAAATTTGACATAGAAATAGTTTGAGTCCCTGAAAAGCACATAAGATAGTTTTTATCCCGGTTTTTGATACAGGGACGCGCGTGATAAAGTTTTTCTCTGACAGACAAAACTCCACGCGGGCGAAGCCGCGGGTGGAACGCTAGTTTTTAATAATTTAAATATAACATATTTGCTCCTGGTTTATTAGAGCGGTTATCCAGTGTCTTATCAGGACACTGTCCCTTCCCTTCTATGATCTGAGCTGTTGGGACTGCCAAGCATTCGGTTTTTGATGGATGTGATTTTGTTTCTCATCACGGCTAGAAACCCGTTTACGTGAGCGTCAGCAAACATACCAATTACCTTACTAAAGTCCGGTCGCCGAGCACGTAGAATTTCGTCCAATGACCCCAAGCTACCCATCCTTATCGCTCGCGCGTAATTATATTTCTGTCGCGCTCACACACTCCACTGCGGCCGCCCGTCGCACATTCGCGATAGCATTTTCATTTAGCAAATTCTACGTGCTACGTACGTACTTGGGTTCATTGGCCGAAACTCTACGCGCTACGTAATTCTACTTTAGATAGAGATACATATACATAGAGATACATTGAAATTACCTTACTTTTTCAGATAAAAGGTGCAAATTACCATTAGTTTCTGGAAGCTGCTTGGCGTACTTTCCCAGGTAAGTTGTTAAAACTGTAATATTGAAGTGCCATTTTGGTTTTGTTAATGAGGGTTTTTGCGAATGAAAAATCCTGGCTAGACGGGTTGGGGATTACGGGGATGCCTTATGTAATGCATCAGGCCTCCCCAACCCGTCTGGCCAGCGTGGGGAGTGCGACCAAATCCTCTTGCCTCTGATAAAGGACAATGACCGAAAGTGGTCCAAATGTCCACCACTAATGAGACCTATATTGGCTTATAGTCCATAAAATAGAGATTAACTTTCAGTATGGGACGAAAAAAAAATAAGCTGTCAGTAAAAAGTTATGACTGTTTGAAAAATCGTAGTAGATTACGCGCTAATCTCAGGAACTACTGGTCCGATTTAAAAAAATATTTTTGTTATGGATATCAAGGATGGTTTTAGGATAAATAACATCACCCTACAACCAATAGGGGCGGAGCAGTAAAGACAAATGTTGTAAAAATGGGAAATATTATTCAAACTATTTTCACGCGTACAAAGTCGTAGGCACAGCTAGTATAATATTTAATAAAATTCATCTATAACCCCGCGCCACATGCGACATGACATAACATGCGTAGATTAGTCCAAAATGTGCAATGGATAGAATGATATCAAGAAGATTTTTCGGATGAAAAGGTAAAAAATCATAACTTTTTACTGACAGCATATTTTTGATTGCGGTTTGGTTATAATGAATCAGTATTTAGTAGACTATTTTACTACATAGGTCTCGTTAGTGGTGGACATTTGGACCACACTCCATACATTTTTGGTCATTGTCCTTTAGATAGGGCTATGCTCCTGCATGTTCAGCAGTGGACGTCCTATGGCTGAAATGATGATGATGATGATGATGATGATTCTCCTGCAGTGGAGACTAAAGTCGTTCCCACGGTGAGTCGGTGACATCTCGTGTTTTCCAGGAACTGTTTTTTGTAAGATCCTGAATAATAGTAGGTACAAGAAGTGTTTTGACGAAATACCGCAGTGTCTCAAGACAAAAGTCTTTGACCAGTGTGTGTTGCCAGATGGTACATACCGATCTGAGACGTGGTCGTTTACTATGGCCCTCTTAAGAAGGCTCAAGGTCACCCAAAGGGCAATGGGGCGTGCTATGCTCGTAGTTTCCCTGCGTGATCGAATCCGATGAGGAGATCGCAGGAGAACCAAAGTGACTGACATAGCATGCAGAATTGCTAAAATCAAGTGGCAGTGGGCGGGGCACATAGTTCGTAGATATAATGGCCGCTGGGGCAGAAAAGTTCTCAAGTGGCGACCACGAGCCGGAAGACGTAGGGCAGACCTCTCACTAGGTGGACCGCCGATCTGGTAAAGGTCGCGGGAGGTGCTTGGATGCGGGCGGCGCAGGTCCGGTCTTTGTGGAAAACCTTGAGGGAGACCTTTGTCCAGCAGTGGACGTCCTTCGGCTGAAACGATAAGTGTTTTAATTTTAATGTTCACACGAACATCCCGATCGCAGTCTCGCAAAAAACAGATCCGTTCGAATTTGTAATTTGAATTTCAAACACATCATCATCATCATCATCATCATCATCATCACTCAGCCATAGGACGTCCACTGCTGAACATAGGCCTCCCCCAATGACTTCCACATCGCACGGTTGGTAGCGGCGGTTTACTGATTCGTGATCTGAATAAGCTACATAAATAATCAACTCCCTAAATATGGCGAGGATTGAAATCAACATCCTGTACCTATCTATATTTTTTCAAATTCAAATTTTCTTTTCAGCTACGGATACAGAGTGGAGACAGGGAAATGTGAGAGCTTCATATACGGAGGTTGCGAAGGGAATAAAAATCGCTTCGAGACTCGGAAGGAATGTGAAGCAGTTTGTAATGAGGATCTGTACAGTCATAGAAAATTCAATAAAACTAGCATCTACGATAAACTTTATAACCTAAGAATGGCATTATTATATCTTTTTGAATTATCCAAATTGGGGCATTACTTCCGAAGATGTTAACACCTTTGCTGCGGCAGTAACTTTCTAATACTTTCCATTCCTTCGGTACAAGGTCAGTAAACCTGGTATTAAAACTTACATTGTGGCGGCACAAGGCTTAAAGACCTTGTAATATTTAAGATATATTAATTTTATTTTTGGCTTCATGTTAATAGATATTGTGTTTTTTTTCTTTGAATATTAATAATAATGCATTTATTGACATACACCTGAAGGCGTTCGTGAATAACTTGTTTAGTATAAAAATTATAGCTATATTCAAAATACAAGGCTTATGCACCCTGTGCCGCACTGAAGTAGGGAAGTCTGGTGGGTATTCTAGGGATGTGAAATACAAATATCGATAGTTTAAATTAAGTTTTAATAAAAATTTAAAAAAGTAACAAACAAAGATGTTTTAATAATTTAGTCTAAATATTTTACAAATAAGACATACGTGCATAAATACTTAAATAAGCTATATTTAAAGAAAACATATTATTTAATAACATTTAGTTACAACTTCAAATGTTTGTCACGAAAAACATTATTTAAATTAGCAATAAATCGTGTAGCAAATTAAATTATAATCAATTTGCAGTTTTGATTTTGTTTGTTTCTCTTGACGCCATGTCGACATGTGCGTTTCTTACGAATGCGAGGCAACACTGGCTGCACGAAGCTAGCGTGGGGTGCGGTACCAGGTGCGCAGGGTACAAGGTGCTTCGACCTGGTTTCGCATTGTGAAGACATTTTATTACTTCCGTGCGGTACCAGGTCTAAAAACCTGGTATTAAGGTAGGTACATCATTGGATTCTATTTTAAGAATACATCATAGATATATATTCATCACTTTCCTACACCGGACCCAATTGAAGTTATGCCTTTCGCACGACAAGGAAGACTATAATTTTCTTAGCCGCACGGTAAGCGAGACGTACACAAGGTCTATAGACCTGGTTTCGCACTCAACGTGTTAAGTAATAAACATAGAACGCCCGTTAGTAATTTGGCCATAAATTCGTCAATTTTTGTCGTTTAACAAAATGTAATTTGGCCATAAATTCGTCAATTTTTGTCGTTTAACAAAATTTTTTGGACTTTTAAGTCTTATAAATCTGCATTAACAATAAAAATCGTAATGAGTCTCGTTAACTAATAAACATAATACAATAGTTTTTCATTTGGGAAGGATAGGTACTCAACTCCTAGTCTTCCAGTGACTTGGCCCACTTTTAGCTTGGCCCACGCATGGGCCAAGTCGCTGGACTGAATTTTTAAATAATTTTTCTTCCAGCGCATTCGGGTAAAAGCAGGGTGAGTCAGCGGAATACCTACTTACTCTAATGATATTCCTATTAGGATAAATAAGTAATTAGTAAAATTACCGTTCAAACAGTTATAAAATTAATGGAGTTTTTAATTAAGGAAAGTATATAAGAAAAAAATGTGCATTATTTATGTTTATTTCCACTGTGACATCGAGTGAATTAGATACTTATATTTATATTATACCACAGTATAAATATCTTTATACATAATGAAGAACATAGGGATATTAGTTTTTTTGGTGGCCATTACTTTGGCAAGTTCACTTGGTGAGTACCTAAATAATAGTTATTTTGTAACAGCAAAGATGGCTGGCTATAGTTTCGATTCTCTAGTGTTGACTACTTAATACTGTGCTATTTGTCTTGGACTCACAGGTCCCGGGTTCGAATCCCAGCGGGGGCAAAATTTTCTGCTCGGTTTGGTTGGTGGAAACCCAGCTCTAAACCTGCCACCATTATATCGTGTTATCTGTCTATCACAATAAATTAGTATTTTGTGTTTCGTTAGTAGGAAATTATTTATTAGTATAGCTAGTAGCTGTGGCCAAGTTTGATACAGGGAAAAGTTCTAAGCATACATAGGGAAAGACACGAAGCGACTTTGTTTTATACTAAGGTTAATGTAGTGATCTTAATTTAACTTTGACAAACGTCAAAAATCTTTCATATTCCATACTAAAAAAACCCCGGTTATTGTTACAGTTACGGTTAAAATTAGATAGTGAAACTCAGCCTTAGTACCTAATGTGTGCTGTACCAAACTAATATTAGAATTCGCGCTTGATTTTGAATCTACCCATAGAAATTACCTTACTTTTTCAGATAAAAGGTGCAAATTACCCCTAGTTTCTGGAAGATGCTTGGCGTACTTGCCTAGGTAAGTTTTTATGAGATATTACTTTAATGAGGGTTTTCGCGAATGAAAAATCCGCCAGATGGCAATACGTAGACTCGAGGTCCAAATGCTGCATGATTGGTTATTTTTTACATTGACAGATAATGTCAAAATCCACCAATCACGCAGCACGCGAAAACCCTCATTGTGTCAGTCGCCCGTATTCACAAACATTACTATGAGGTTTTACTGTGCGTGTGGAATTGGATGCATAGGGTGACACACTAACCAATCACAGAGCTCTATTCAACGCTGTGCGTTCGATTTGCTGCTTCACTCATGCAAGCATCGTTTGTGAATACAGGCTAGTTTCTAGTGACATAATTATTTTGCTTTGTTATTTGCGCTGGCCAGACGGGTTGTGGAGACCTTATGTGCATCAGCCCTCCCCAACCCGTCTGGCCAGCGTGGGGAGTGTAGGCCAAATCCTCCATTTGCCTCTGGTAAATTAGAGAGATTGGGGACTAAATGATGATATTTATATATTTCAGCTACGGATACAGAGTGGAGACAGGGAAATGTGAGAGATTCATATACGGAGGTTGCGAAGGGAACAAAAATCGCTTCGAGACCCGGAAGGAATGTGAAGCAGTTTGTAATTAATTATAAATAAAAATAAACATACGAGTAATCTTACATCGTTTTTCATTCTTCTTCTTGTCGTGTCTACAACACACCTACACAGTGTCCGCCCAATACTCCGCTACGAGTGGCGTTGTCAGTAGCCTTCATTAAATCCTCCTGCGTGCAGTTGCTTGGGCACTCAGAGCACGACATCATGGTTTTCATTTGGGTTGGGAAGCATACTCATCTCCTAATCTTCCAGTGACTTGGCCTACTTTTAGCTTGGCCCACGGGCCAAGTCGCTGAATTTAATTTTTAAATAATTTTTCTTCCAGCAACTGCGCCCAATCTAATAAAATTAAATAGGTACATCGTGGACCTAGCTAAAAGAGGGCCGGTCACTGGAAGACTCTTGGGAATGTCCAAGAATCACGATGTCATTGTATACATATAAAAATTGTTTTTGAGAATATAGGTTCATGTCACCTATTTGCGTCCTAGGTGGACGCAATATTATTATTACATAATTTTACATACTAGTAAGTATTCATGAGTAAAAAACTGTTTAGTCTATTTAACATTTTAATTTTCGCATTTGTCTTGGCATTCTTCTAAAGTTTCGTAGTTGTTGCCGTTGCCGCCGCACCCGCCGTAGACGAACTGCGTACACGCACCCGAACTAGTGTCGAAGTAGAATCTGCGGAAGAGGTAAAGCATATACTGTAGAATCTTCATAAAGAGGTACCTATAGTGTTTAATGTAGGATCTGCAGAAAGAGGTAGTGTTTACTGTAGAATCTGTAGAAGAGGTAAACACTATAGGGTTTACTGTAGAAAGAGGGAAAGACGTGTTTACTGTTTAATCTGCAGAGGAGGTAAAGTGTTGTGTGTAGAATCTGTAGAAAGAGGTAAAGTATTTACTGTAGGATCTGTAGAAATAGGTAAAGTATTTACTGTAGGATCTGTAGAAATAGGTAAATTGTTTACTGTTTAGAATCTGCAGAAAGAGGTAGTGTTTAGTGTAGAATCTTCGGAAGCGTTAAAGTGTTTACTGCAGAAAGAAGTAAAACTATGTTGAACATTAAGATAAAGTAAATAATTATTATAAATTGCTGCATTACATAGCAGATTTTAAAGATTTCTTTCTGTCTGAGTGACTATTTAGACCAGTGGTTCTTAACCTTTAAGTCATGAGGGACCATTTTGCCAAATTTATGTCTTGTCAGGGACCACCTCATAATCATAATTGGTCAAAAGTAAACTATTTTGACTGCAAAAATCAGTTAAAAGTGGTTTTGACCAAGGTGTGCAAGTGCAATTCGTGGACCACTTGGAATGCCTCCAAGGGACCACCAGTGGTCCGCGGACCAGCGGTTAAGAACCACTGATTTAGACTTTATTTCCTCCTACGCTGACGTCACCCGCACGTAGACGAATAAGTGAACACCATCGCATAAGATAATTTCAGAGGGCCTAGTGTGAGTTTACATCAATTGCGCTCACACATTAAATGTATGAAGGATTGTACATGAGCACCCCTAGCGGAAACGTTCAAGAACTAAAATTTTCATACATTTTTTTAACGCGCTCACTAGTGAGGTCTTTTGATGTAAACTCACACTCATTCCACGGATTATATTTTTTGGTCGCAAAAAACACCTATCCAAATAACAAAGATTCCACTGTGTACCGTACCTCAAACCAAGATTACCTATTTAATAAAACTGTATAAACACTTACCTGTCATTATTTCCATAGCACAGGCCGGGCTCCATTGGGTCATTGCAGTTCTTTTCTGAAAAAAATAAGATAAAACAATCATTAAGGCTTGGTATTTCTGCTAAAGTAGGTATTTCGCGCTGTCAAAATCTGCGCGCGCAATTCTTCGCCGAAGACAGCGCGCCAAAGAGCTCCCGCCACAATTTCCAGCTACATAGTATAGAAATACGCAGTTGGTTAGGTTAGGTCGACTTTCTTCCCTTCAAGGGTCACACTCACAACACTTTCTAATACAAATCATATCCAAGTGATACCAATTAAAACACCTTACAGACTTTTTGGGAATATATTCTAGAATCGAATAAATATGAAATATAACTGCAGAAGTAAACACGGTTCAAAGTGGCCGTGGCGTCGCCTGACCTTCTGGAAGTTCTGCGCTGGCTTAAAGAATTTCAAGATTACGTGACCCGACCTATCGGTAGGCCCTTGGAAGCTTGAGCGACTGGAAAAACATTTTATGATAAGTTACTCTTAGTAGCGATTATTTAGAGCTTGGATAATAAATTATAGTTGTTGCAATTCACGAAGCTTTGCATGTGGTTAATAACATTAATCAGTACACGCATTAATTTTGTTCAGTCTCTTTGTTTATTAATAAATAAAAATATCATACTAAAATTGCAGAAACATATTTGTTTGTATTGGTCTGGGTGTTTTCTTTCTATAATATGTATGACGTATGTACGGGGTTCTGTATCGAAAATTACTATGAGCATCACACGCGGTTACCTGCTTACCTCTGTGCACTCATGGGAGTTTAAGCAGAGGTCCCTAGAGTTTGACTTTGAGCTTTGTTTATAGTCATTACGAAGCAGACTGATGGGAAACTGCACTGTCTTGAATTCGAAAGGGCAATTTGACGGTGTTAGGGGAATTCTAGGAATAAATACAGAGTCTCCTCATTGAGATTGAGACATTTCAATTTGAGATTTCACTTGACATTGAACACAATCTGACATGGAGTTTTCAAACACTTGTAAAAATAAAAAGTAATTAAATCAAAGGCACTAAGTAGTATTGATATCAACTTCGAAGAAAATGACTGCCAAAATTACTTTCTACCCGTTCCACACGTCTTTCATGAATTATATTAAGGAATTGTTAAGCTAAATTTCAAGTAGATTGAACCAAGGAATCACTTTGTCCCATACAAACTTTGCCCCCTTTTTTCACCCCCTTCATTTCATGACCCCATTTCGGAAAATCTTTTCTTATGAGATGCCTACGTCATAAAAAGAACACACCTTCCAACTTTCAGGTCTCTACGATATCCGTCAGTCATTTAGGACAAAGCATTTTTATTAGTTGTTCAAAACTCTATCGTTCCAGGTATGTCATTGACAGGAGGGCGCTACTATCTTAATGGGTTATTCATTAGTCCACTTGACATTTCAGAATCGTTTGACTTTAGATACCTAAGCGATTTGATATTCGGAGTCTTTTAATGAAATCAAGTTCTGAAATAACTTGAGGTGTTGTACCCGATCAAGCTTTTCATTGCAGGACAGTTAAATAGTTTTATTATTAGTTTCTTCTCTAAGTCTTAATTTGTCAGAGTAGGTAAAGGCTCCATGAGAGCAAAATTTAGCTTTATAATAGTTTTTAATTTTTTTCTTGAAATATTTGACGCCTTGTAATCTCTTGTAATCTCTCGTTAATATAGGTCCACACAAATAAAGAATGTTTGACTTCGACTTTAATAATTATGCTCTTACATAATTATAAATAAACTAGCTTTCCGCCCGCCGCTTCGCCCGCGTGGAATTTTTTGGTTTTTATATAACTTATTACACTCAGATATAATGTGGCTTTCTATTGGTGAAAGATTTTTTAAAATCAGTTCAGTAGATCCCGAGATTACCCCTTACAATTTAACAAATATACAAACACACAAACTTTACCTCTTTATAATATTAGATTATAGATAGGTAATTTGAAACCCTATTTTGTTTTATTCTTTTTTTTATTTTAAATATTTCACGATCCAAACTAATATTTACTGTAAGTAAATGCTAAATAGTAAATATTAGTTTGGATTGTGAAATATCCTACTAATATTATAAAGGCGAAAGTTTGGATGTCTGGATGTCATGATGTCTGGATGTTTGTTACTCTTTCACGCAAAAACTACTGAACGGATTTTGTTGAAACTTTACAGTATTATTGTTTATAACCCAGATTAACATTATGACGATATGTGGCAAATAAATTTCAATAAATAAATAAGACGTGTCTAAAAGCGCCATCTATCGTCATTGGTTAAAATCTACAGCACTGGACAAACTACGGTATGACGTTCGTAAATATTCATTCGGGGGAAACCGTGAAACGCCATCTATCAACATGGGTAAAATGAGGTAAAACATCATATCTAACGGGGGTAAAACGAGGTCCACGCGAACGAAGTCGCGGGCGGCCGCTAGTTTATAATAGGTAGCTTTCCCTCCGCAACCTTATTGGTATTCCATGTATGTGTCTTTTAACTGAGTTCTGTTAAACATTTCATGTAAAATTTGTCCAATTATAACTCTATTTACATCTGCATCTGTAAGCAAGGATTCATGTTCTCCAGCCCAGATGCCGAGTAAACAGAATCGTCTTTCAGTGACGTGCAGCTGCCCCTATATTTGACCCACTGACCTAATTTTTTATTATTTATTTGTGTCAGTGTGCTCTTCTAAAGAGTGAAGACGATTGTATGTAGGTACTATTAAAATGTAATTTTAACTCATTGGTTTTGTCTCATATTTGAGGAATGTATCATGAGTAGAGTCTTAGTTTAAAAGGATGCCAACGATTTAAATTTCAATAGGTAGACAAAATTCAGAATTCTTAATTATCAAAAATTTTAGCTTTCTCCAGTAACACTGGTATTATTATACTGTGACTCATCAAAGTCATCATTGTCAAAAATATTGACAAATCGCGAACTGTCACGACCAAAAAACTGACACGCGTCCGTCCTCCGTAAGCGCCACCGCGCGACTGATTGAGATTGTCCAAGCCGTCATGGGCGATTTTTTCCACATTTTTTAACATAGTAACTAAATAAGAGCCAATATAAAAATTTCATCCGTTAAAAGCCCTCAAGTTATTTCTGAACTTTAGTTTAGTAAAAGATTCAGAATCTCAAATCGCTTATTTAAAAAATAAAACCATAAATAGAAAACGAATAGAGGTAACTTTGGGAATTTATTCTATCGAGTCAACTTCATCAAATCATGTTTCCATCCGTTAATAGCCCTAGAAAATATCCTCAACTATGCCCAAATAAAATCTTAGCCTTTAATT